ATACACGTTCACATACGAATCGGAATGCAAATGTACAGGTATCGACGAAATTTTCCCAAAATTTCCTCAAAATTTGCATATCGTCAGCAACATATGTGGTTAACCATGTACGTATTTTCCCACACTGGTATTTTTCTTGAGAAATGTGAGGAAATTATTAAAAAATTCTGACTGAATTTACCTGGAAATGATGTAGAGTAGTTGGTGTTATTGAAATAGGAGAAAAATGATGGGTGGTGGGATCGAACCTGCGTGTATTGACATGTTGTTGTCAGTCTGAGTGCCGCTAAGGATATCGTGATGAAGTTCGTAGAGTCCCAGAAGAGGTCAACCCTTGTGTAAGTGATTGCATTTGGCATCACACCTCGAGGCCATATGGTGGGGCATCAGGTGGCGTCTTGATGAGGAGGTTGACGCAGAAGACCTCATTGAGTGCATATGGGACAGAAGGACGGTGAAGCGTGATCCTGCTGCTTCCTTCGGCAATGTAGTCCGTGCGCCATGCCAGGTGAGTAACACTCACGGCATACGCACAAGTAGCTTCCTTTTCAGTATGGTCTCACGGGTTACCGTCGGCGTCTAAGGGATGCAGGGCTAATGTTGAGGGTTGAACTTGATGATGGTAGATTTGGTAGTAGCCGGCGTCAAGCTATGCATACTGGGGATCCATCGAAAGATGCTGCGGCGAGTGGTCATGTTGAGGTTGGTGGGGCCTCTCTGGTTGGGGTTGTGATGGTATTGTGATTAGTTGATTTTTGAGTGTTATCCTGGAGAACTTGAAGGAGCTAAGAAGGTGATGTATAGCATGATGGAGGAATGGAGGGAACACAACTTCCGGTAGCAGATGTATGCCCATATGGTATTATGAATATGTGATAGGTGCACTATATCGCTACGTTCGGATCACTCGAAGCAGCTGTTGAATCTTGGTCGGGGAGGACAGGGGCTGCAGAAGTTCCGCAGTTTCGCTAGGGATAAAGGTGTGGAGATTAGTATTAGGTAGTGGGGATGGTTGAGCGGGGGAGCATTGGTCTCTCTTCCCGGTGGTATCGGGTTCGAAACTCGCCTCTGACACTCTGCAAATATTAGAGCTGTGTCTTATGTTCTTCTCTCCAAGACTATTGAGTGTGTATTAGTAGACCTATACAGTTGGCGTTGAATACGTTGATATTATTCACTACTGCGGAAACCTATGGATTTCTATTGGAACTTCTCACTGTGTTTTCGTCCCTTCAGACGAGGTAACCCCGAGCACGTGCCAAGCTTAGATGCTACTGACGAAGAGGTCGATGATGATGAGGAGGAGAGTGGATCTTGTCCCACCATGGTGAGTATCGTCCAGTCGTTGTTACCACACCTCGGCCGAATCAGGTCCTCTCGGGAGTAGAGGCTAGTGTGCTGGAGGTTGAACAGAACTGGATCGACAGGTTGGAGAAGTTCAAGAGGGAGAATAAGACTTCCGAGGTGAATACTTGTTGCTGATGGTGGTAGTCGGGAAGAGCTGTCATTCCGCGTATCAGTTGACGCTCTCGATTGAGCATTTGTTTGCCTTTGGGTTAACCGGTGTAACGCCATCATCACCATCGACGTTGGAAGATACTCCTACCAAGGATTCTGAGGACAGGTAGTTGAGGATATGTACCGTAGCTGGCTTACTGTTGATTGCTGTGAGAAGGTACGAGACACTGTTGGTGAACTGTAGTCCTAAATCGGTAGAGGACGCAACTAGGAGGCTCTTCAAGCATGTCAGGTCGAGTCCTGGACCGGAAGATGGTAAAAATACCCTCACTGGGGATCGAACCCCCGTCCTTGTCATGATGCTACTTTGTTAGGGGAGAATGGTCCGCTGTCGAACACGGGTAGTGTCGACTTCACTAAGGATGCTTATGGGACTGTAACTCTGCACTTGCGGGGCACGGAGCAGTTCTTGGGCCGAATGAAGGTAATTGAAAATGGTTGATGCCGTGTGATACCGTGCTTGTGGTGTATTCCAGGATGCTGTGTCCCGCTTGTTGGACTCGTTCACAGCAAAGAATGTTGTGATGGGCATCCCGGACACGGCATGTAAGTCTAGGGTTAGTTGATTGGTGGGAAGGTGTATGTGTGGTTTACTTCAGTGACAACATTGAGTGAGGAAGTAGTGCAACAGTTGCATAACAGGTATGATGTTGAAGTTAGGGTTGTGAAGAACTCCTATGAGGTAGAGTTGATACGTTGGAAGGCATTCGCGATTTTGATTGCTTTTAGGGTGATTACGGTCACTATCTGTTGGTAACGGGCGAGTCGAAGGAAACGGACATTGGCAACTGTCACGATGAGATCATTCGCATCATCAATAAGCAGTAAGCTCGAATGCCAGTTCAGCATCTGAAGTTTTATCTCGTCATTGTAGGCCATCCCACGCTACGGCTGG